GGCAGGAGCACTGGCTGGGGGGGGGGAGCGGGGGCAGGAGCACTGGCTGTGGGGGGAGCTCTCCACTACTGCAGCCCCAGCATCTCCTAGCAGGGGGCGCTGTGGGGGGGGAGTGGGGCAGGAGCCCTGGCTGTGGGGGGAGCTCTTGGCTACTCCAGCCCAGGCCTTCCCCAGCTGGTGGCGCTGTGGGGAGCGGGGCAGGGGTGAGCTGGTGGTTCTGGGAGACGTTTCTCCTGACCCCCACCTCCTTGCCCCATAGCTATTGAACCTGTGGACGACATTGAGGCCGTGACGGACATCCTGGCGCGGCGGGTGACGGCCCTGGAGCTGCGGCCGGACCTGGGCTGCCCCCCATGGCTGTCTCTCTTCGAGGGGCCCCTGCTCAGCGCCTCCCATGCCAGCATCACTTCTGACACCGCCAGCGCCAGCCCCTCTCGCTCACGCCAGTCGTGGGGCCGGCCCCGCACGCTCTCCCTGGACGCCAGGCTCAGCACACTCAAGGGGCGTGCTGGGAAGGGCCCCGCCACGGCCCTACGCCCGCTGGCCGGCCCCCCCCACTCCAGCTCCTCCAGCAGCGGCAGCACCACCCCCGAATCGGAGCGCCAGGGCCGCCGCCCCACCCGCTCCCCCCTGGATCCCCGCAGCTGTCTGCAGTCCCAGGTCTGAGCAGCACGGGGCGCCGGCGCCTGCACCCTGACCAGGACAGGAGGTGACGGGGGAGATGCCCTGGGCAGGGGCCCCCTCATGGCCCAGCCAGCCCCACGGCCCCCCTGCTCAGGCAGCAGCCTTGGCTGGGTCGCGGTGTCAGTTCTCCGTCCTGAGCAGCGGCACCTCCCCACCCCGTCCTCCCGCTGAGCCCCCGGCACGGGGACCTTGCTCACGCAGGGCCAAGGGACCCCACCGGGGCCTGGCTTGTGGGGAGACCACAGCAGGGCCCGTGCCCCTTGTCCCCACCCGAGCTCCCTGGCATCCGCTGGGGAGGGCTGTTAGGAACAAGCGTCCCTGCCCCCAGCCTGGGGCACGGCGTCCATTTGCTCCCCCAGCTGGGCTGAGCCCTGGGCCGAGGGGCTGAGCTCACCCCCTCCCCCAGGCCCCGCTGAGCAGAGCGGGAGCTGCCCCCGGCCCCAGCCAGACGCACGGGGTGGGGGCTGAGCTGTCCTCAGCCTGGCTTCAGAGCAAAGGCTGAACCCGGGGGGGGGGGGGCTTCGGGACAAAAAAACTGGAATGAGGTTGGTCCAAGTGACGGGGAGGGGCGTGTGGATTCCCTAATTCCAGCTCTAATGGCTTCTCCTCACTAACCAGCCCCTGGGGCTGGAATTTGCTCCATGCCCCCCCCCTTGCAGATGCAGCCCCCCACCCCCCCAAACAGACCAGTTCCTCTGCAGAGGTGTGCATAGCCCCTCCCCCCATGGGGCTGGCTCGCTGGGGGAGGGAGCCGAGGCTGGAGCCACCTCATTAATATGCATTAAAATGTATTTAATGTTCCCAGACTCTGATTTGGAGAATGGTGATGGGTGGGGGGGGTGGAGTGGGGCAGGACCGGCCCTGCTGCGGGGACCAGATGTCCTGATTTTATTGGGACAGTCCCACTATTTGGGGCTTTATCTTGCATAGGCGCCTATTACCCCCCACCCCCATCCCGCTTTGTCACCCTGGCTGGCTGGTCCCCCTAGGCCCTGCCGGGCTGGGCCCAGCCGCCATCCCCCACCCCTGTCCCGCTTTGTCACCCTGGCTGGTTGGTCCCCCTAGGCCCTGTTGGGCTGGGCCCAGCCGCCATCCCCACCCCCATCCCGCTTTGTCACCCTGGCTGGCTGGTCCCCCTAGGCCCTGTCGGGCTGGGCCCAGCCGCCATCCCCCACCCCCATCCCGCTTTGTCACCCTGGCTGGCTGGTCCCCCTAGGCCCTGCCGGGCTGGGCCCAGCCGCCATCCCCCACCCCATGAGCTCGGGCCCTGCAAGCAGCTGTGATGTCACAAGCAGCGCGTGGCCCATGGGACCTGGAGCTGCTTGGAGCCCCCCACCCCCACCCCCTGCCCTCCCTGGGTCCGGCGAGCTGGGGGAGGGACGCAGCTCAGCCCCCCCATCATGGGGGAGCCCTCCCCCTCCCCCCAAGCAGGTCGGGGGGCTGGGCCACTCTCTGCTGTTGAGGGTGGGGCACTCAGCACCCTGCAGCCTCCAGCCACCAACCCAGGTACTGGGCCCCCCGTGCCTCGCCCCCGGCGCACGCACCCATCCCCCTGCCCTGGCGAGAATGGACGTGTGGGGGGCTCAGGGGCAAGCGGTGTCCCCAGCAGGAGGGCTGGGCCATGCCCACCCTGCCCCCCGTGACTTGCTGATGAACTGGGGTGGCTCAGTGACCTTGGGCCCCATGGTGGGGATGAGGCCAGGCACCCCAGCCCCACGGGCAGGGCGAGGGGCAGAGAAGCCAGACTCGCGGCCAGTTCCCACAGCTCCTTTATTAGGCCTTGGAGGCCACCGCCCAGGTTGCAGGGTAACATGGTGGGTTGGGGGCTCACCCAGCGAGCAGAGACCGGGGCGCTGGGGGTTCAGAGCGCAGGGGTTGGGCCCACAGGCACCTCCAGAGTGTGTGTGGGGGGAATTGCTGGTTCTTAGAAGGGCCCGGGGGGGGGCAATCTGAGCAGCCCCCCGGCACGTCGCAGTCATACAGCCGAGCCCACGCTGGGGTCCGGCAGCCCCTGCTGTCTACGCAGTGTGGGGGGAGGGGCCCTCGACGGCCTCCCCCCCCTCCAGCGCCGCCTGCCTGGCGCCGCCTTGCAGAGAGATCCAGGCTGTCCCCCCTGCGGAGAGACAAGCACCTCAGCTTATAGGAGCCACTGCTGGGGAGTCGCCCCTCCCCCCCGCTGTAGGGCATCCCGTCCAGGCCGCCCCTTCCTCCACCAACCCCGTTTCCGGGGAATCCCAGCCAGGGCAGCCCCATCCCCGCTCCCTGGGGGAGGCCCGAAGTGGGGGTGGCACAGGGCAGCCACGGTACCTGCTGGGGGATCCCACGCCGCTTGCAGCTGGACCTTGGCACTGCCGCTCAGGGCGTCCTGCGGGACGAGAGGGGCACTGAGGGGGGGCAGGGCGCTCCCGCTGGCCCCCCATGGGGCAGATACTCTGGCCTCCAGGGCCTGAGCAGCCTGGGGCAGGTCGGGGGGGGGCTGCAATGGGGCCACCTGCCCATGGGGGCTGCAGAGGGAGCCTGAGCTGATGCCACATGGGAACTACTGCCATGGGCCTCAATCGGAGCCGGTTCTCCCCCCACCCGATCCAGCCACTCCTCTGCCCTGGGGCAGATCAGAGCCAGCGCCCCCTAGAGGGGAAAGACCCTGTGTCCCATTCCCCACCCCCCTACCCAGCCAGCCCCCAGCCCTCGGGCAGAGTGGAGTTGGCGCCTCCTGGAGGGGATGGACCCCGTGTCCTGAACTTGCCAGCCCCTGACATTAAAGTTCCTAATAGGTTTTGGCTCCGTTACCTTCTCTCCTGGCTCCGGCTCCGGCTCCGGCTCCAGCTCCCTGAGCTCCGGCCACCTCCCGGCCTCCTGCCCTGCTATGCCGTTGTGTCCTGACTCCGGGAGGAGCTCGGCCAGGCTGGCCTCTGGCGCCAGGAGGGGCCCGTGGGAGGGCTCCAGCGGTGCCTCTCCACCTACAGGGAGACGGGTGAGGGCTGAGCGCCTGGCACTCACTCTGCGGGATGCCAAACTGGCTGCTGGGCTCCGTCAGGCACCACGCTCTGCCAGCCAGGCTGATGGCAATAATCCCGCCGCCTCTCCCCAGAGCAGAACGCCCCCGAGTGACAGCCCGGCCAAGCAGCATTGCATGGTCCCCTCCCTGGGGGTTTGCTGCTGGGGGGCCGTGCCGAGCAGTGGGGACAGAGCCCCCAAGGGGTTTCCTGCTGGGGGCTGTGCCGAGGGATGGGACAGACCCGCTGGGAGGTTTCCTGCTGGGGGCTGTGATGGGGGGGGGCAGACCTGCTGGGGGCTGTGCCAAGCGGGGGACAGACCCACTGGGAGGTTTCCTGCTGGGGGCTGTGATGGGGGGGGCAGACCTGCTGGGGGCTGTGCCAAGGGGGGACAGACCCACTGGGAGGTTTCCTGCTGGGGGGGCAGACCCGCCGGCCCAGGTGACCCCAGTGCTGGCTCAGCCTGACAGCTCCCTGTGTGTGCGACGGCACCGTTCTGCCCCGAACACCCACCTGTCATGGGGTCCTCGCCAGGCCTGGGGGCTGCAGCCGTGGAGGGGCCGGGATGCCAGGGCCACAGGGGTGCGGACTGAGGCAGAGGTTCCAGGGAGCAGGACTCTGCGCTGGAGAGAACTGGGCAGCTTTGAGCCGGCTCCCCCCCAGCCAGTGATGAGTTAGTGGGGTCAGCAAGGGCCCCAATCGGCACATCTGGGACACTGCCATGGGGCCCCTCAGAGGGCACCAGCTCTGCCAGCAGGGAGCTCTCAGAGGGGCCCTGGAGTGATCTGGGAGCTATGCAAGGGGCATCCTCCTCCGTCAGCAGAAATGTAGCTGGAGGCTGGCTCAGAGACACTGGGGCAGGGGGTAGAGAGAGAAGAGGTGAAGAGTCAGCTCGTGGGGGGCTGGCAGGGGGTGGAGACCCAGCTCTGGGAGGGCTGGCAGGGGATGGAGATCTGGCTCTGGGAAGGGGTGGGGGGCTGGCAGGGGGTGGAGTCCCGGCTCTGGGAGGGGGTGGGAGGCTGGCAGGGGGTGGAGACCCAGCTCTGGCATGGTGAGCAGGGGCTGGAGACCTGGGTTCAGCCAGGCTGATGGGAGGCAGAGTCATGGTTCCATCTGGGCTGATGTGGAACAAATCTTTGGTCCTGGGATGAATAGCTGGGGGCAGGAGCCCTGTCCCGTGCGGGCTGGTTGGGGACGAGGGTTTGGCCCCGTGCAGGCTGGTGGGGGGCAGGGGTTTGGCCCCAGGCAGGCTGATGGGGGGCAGGGGCCCTGTCCGGCATGGGCTGGTGGGGGACGGGGTTTGGCCCCAGGCGGACTGATGGGGGGCAGGGGCCCTGTCCCACGCGGGCTGGTGGGGGACAGGGGTGTGGGTCTGCGTGGACTGGCGGGAAGGGCAGTCCTGCTGGAGCTGGACTCAGGGGGGCGAGGGCTGGAGGGGGCCGGGAGGAAGTCCCCCGGCGAAGCGGGGGGCTCTGGCCGGCGGAAGATGTAGGCAGACTCCGTCAGGCTGCGCTGGTAACGCAGGTAGGGCCTGTGGGGTGCTCCTGGGGGGAAAGCACAGAGGACACTGTCAGTCAGTAGCTGCTTCCGCTGCCCCTCCCGCACCATCACCCACCACTGCCATGCAGCCACCTCTGGCGGCAACACGGCAGCTGCTTAACCCATAGGCCCCTAATCGCTCCCTCATGCCCCCAGCAAATGGCAGGCTCGGGTTGCAGCCGGCAGCACCAGCCTGGTTGAGGGCTCCCAGCCAGGCAGCATTTTGGGACAGGAAGTGAAGCTGAATCCCGCGCCGGGGCTGACACTCACCTGGCCTGACCCCCAGGGGCGAGGGGGGCGACTGGGCACCCGAAGTGGAGCTGGAGCGTTCCCGCTGCCTGAAGAACTCCCGGGGGTTCTGTGAGCGCTGGGAGACCAGCGTGGCCGCCTCCTGCAACGCACAGAGAGTGAGGGGGGCCCCGAGGGGCCGGGCAGGGGGCTCTGCATCCCAGCCTGAGTGGAGAGGAGGGTAGGACGGGCCCAGCCCAGCAGGGGGCGTCCCGGCCGGGCGGGGGGCAGGAGGCTAGGATGGGCCCAGCCCAGCAGGGGGCGTCCCGGCCGGGCAGTGGGGCAGGAGGCTAGGACGGGCCCGGCCCAGCAGGGGGTGCTCTCTCTAGGCTCCCCCCACTTACCACAGCCTTCTCGATGGACTCGCTGCGCCGGAACCGGTCCCGCATGGCCTCCTCGTGCTCCCGCTGCTGCTGCTCCTGGGCCGGGATGGAGGAGAGACCCTCAGAGAGCCGGGGCAGCTCGAGGGGGCTGTGCCCCCATGTCCTCTCCCCCAAGCTCCTTGCCCGCTGCCTGCCTTGGTTCATGCTCCTTCCTGGGGGCCGGATCCCCCCGTCCTGCCGTCTCCCAGCCGCAAGACGCACTGTGCCACCTTCTGCGCCTCCGTACTCAGCCTGTGCCCACCCCAGCTCCGGCGCTGCCCCCAGCCCCTCTCAGCGTCTGCCTGGCAGCCCCCAGCCCTTCTGTGGGAGAAGGCTCCCCTGCTCGGCCCCAGTGCTGGCTGCCGGCTCCCTGACGTAGGGGCAGGGCGGGTGCTGCTTCCACTCACCCATCGGGCTTTCTCCTTCCTCCGCTCCTCGGCCTCCAGCCGGGCCTGCTCCTTCCTGCAGAGAGAGCCAGGGACCCCGGGTCAGCCTAGGAGCTCGTGAGCCCCGGCTGGGCCCAGGTGCAGGGCTCCCAGGCAGGTCTGCGGGAGGGGGTGGGGGCGCCAGGCCTGGCAGCCCCATGGCACAGGCTGGGGGACTCACCTCTGCTCCTCGATCAGCCTCTCTTTCTCCTTGAACTTGCGCTCTCGCTCAGCCGCCTCTCTCTTCTCCTCCTCCATGCGCTCGCGTTCCCAGCGCTTGCGCTCCTCCAGCAGCCGCCGGCGCTCCTCCTCCTTCCGCTGCTCCTCTTCCCTCTGGGCACAGCACAGGGCGCTGGGGACCCCAAACAGCCTCCAGCACCGCGGCCAGGTGCAGAGCTCCCCCCAACACCCTGGCCTGGCCCAGCCCCCCTGCTCAGACACTGCCCCCCCTTCTGCGTTTCCAACCAGCCCTGCTCCCAAAGCAGGGGCCCGAGGCGTCTCCCCAAGGGCAGTACTGCGGGGACGCACCAGGGGCAGCATATACACCAGCTTCATGGGGCCACATTCCCCCAGAGAACCTGCCTGAGACCCCCCTTCACTGGAACCTTTGGGGGACTCAGGGGGGGCAGGGCAGGATCGGAGCCCAGAACCCCGCAGGGATCAGGCTGAGGCTGGGAACCCAGAGCCCGGCCCCGGGAGCAAGGAGCACAGATGGATTCCTCCAGAGGCTCTTGAACCGTGGTGGTGGTGGTGGTCCGGGAGCTCCATTCAGATGGCCCGCGGAGAGTTCCCTCTAAGGTGCGTGCCTGGGCGGCTGCACACGAGAGAATTACGGGCCACCCACCACATGTAAGGTGAGGTGGTGGCCTTGGGGGGAATGGGGGTAGCTGGTAGGGGGCAGTGGGGTGAGGTGGGGGAAATAGGAGGTAGGTAGGGGGAATTTGGGACGTGCAGGGCTGCGGCGGCCAGAGAAAGAACCCCCTCCTTCCCAGCCCAGCTCGGGGGGTGCCACGGTGGGGGAAAGAGGGAGAGACCCCCCCTCCTTCCCAGCCCAGCTCGGGGGTTGCCGAGACTACGGATATTAAGATATGAGTTGTGGGCTTTTATCTGTAGAACAAAAAAAGTTAATTATTATTAAGTTTTTTTTAATATAGCACTTTTATCCAAAGCGCTTTACAATAGTTAGCTAACGGTACAAACAACATTTGGAAAGATCATTAAATGACCCGCCGAGACCCTCAGCGATTTTCAAGTGATCTGTGAAAAACAAAGTTTGAGAACCACTGGACCACTCATTCAGCATTCCCGCAGCTCCTGATGAAACCTCCCCTGGCTGCTCCAGGGGGCGCTGTGGGGAGCGGGGCAGGCGCCCTGGCTGTGGGGGGAGCACCGGGCTAGTCCAGCAGGGGGCGCTGTGGGGAGCGGGGCAGGAGCCCTGGCTGTGGGGGCAGTGCCCAGCTGCAGAGGTGTGGGGCAGGGCCAGGGGGAGGGTCTCTTGGGACTGCGCTGTCTGCTCACCTCGGCCTGCGCCCAGAACGAATCCCGTTTGGTCCTGCGGATCTCCAGGGCGGGGTTCGTTTTCCTGTAGTTGGTGCCCTGCGGGGAGAGGCAAAAATGGGTCCAAGGGGGGCTCAGAGCAGCCCCCTCCCAGGGACATCTCCATCCCTGTGCTGGGCCATGGCGGCTCAGTGAGGGGGAGGGTCCCAGGGCCCTGCAGGCGGCGTCACCCCCCCCCCTTGCCCCGGCCGGGCTCCCGTCTGCAGGGAGCAAGCGCCAACACAGCCCAGGGGAAACCCCAACAGCCCCTCCCTGCACGCACCCCACAGCATCTGTCCGTCTGGCCCCAATCCCTGCACTTTCCCTCATCGCCTGCCCCCCCACTCACCACCAGTTCCTCAGAGCCGCTGGCTGGTGCTCGCCTGGAGGCGCTGCCCCCTGCTGGCGCGAGCCGGGACAGCACGCGGTGCAGCCCCTCCTGCGTCACCTCCTCGGGGCGGCGGGCACTCAGCACCAGGCTGGCCTCCTGCACGAGGGAGGGGAGGACAGCGTCAGCCTCTGCTCACCCAGGCCTGGGATACGGGGAGCCCCCCAAGGGGAACCCAGCACACAGCCTGGGAGAGGGGAAGGCGGCTCTCCCGGCCCAGGCCCTGGATGCAGCCTGCTCCATGCCCAGCTCCGGCCCGTGCCCCCCAGCGGGGCGGGCCGCTGGCTGGCTGGTTTGCAGCCTGTCTCTGGCCAATTCCTGCCCATCCCCCCAGCCCTGGCTCCATTCCCGGCTATTTATAGGTTCTTGGGCTCCAGATGGTTGAGACCGTTTC